CCTAAAACTGCATCAAATGTAAACAGGAGTGCTGTCACTAATTTTTTAATGAGGAAAATATTTTTAAAGCTACCCACATCTTCCGCTTATCCAGAAGAAGACACAGGAAGACAGACGTTTACCCAGAGACAGACAATATTTATTTATGCTCTCTGCAGTTTCATTACTTATTTCCCAGTTACTTGCGAGAGAGTGTGAGCGTCAGTGGCAGTGTAGTTTGAAAGTCTGTTCCTCACTCTCCTTCCCCTGAAATCTTGCTCAATTCATGTGACAGAGAAGGCCATTTACAGAGAAGAAGATTACAAAACCCTATGATGACTGTCTGCCTGTGACAACGACTCCCCCTGGCCATCAGTTCTCTCATGGTGATTCCTTTCTCTTTTCTTCCTCTCTGATTTACTTCAACTTTCAGTGCTGCTCCCCTGGTTGACCTTTTCTGCTGCATCTCCCAGATCACATTAGCTGTGTTTTTGTCCACCTGAAATGCTTGTGCTTCCAAGTTTTGAGGGATTCATGCTGACAGCCTTCACACAAATCCTTGTGTCTTAGCTTTCACATTTGTTCTCTTTGTTTGTCCCTCTTACTCAGAATACTCCCAATCACACACATGAATATTTCAGCACCTTCTTTTATAGAAGGCAAAAAGATATTTCTTTAATTAATGTTTCTTCTTCACGTGCACTTTTTCACCATGAGGTTGACTGAACATCCAATTCTGCTACTGAAAAATATGTTACAGAAGTCTTTAATGGCCATTCCTTGCTACATCAGAGGACTCTACTAGAAATTTAGTTTCTTTACAGGCTCAAAAAGCAGCACCATTCAGACTACTGAGTCTCTACCTCTGGCTTCCCTTCACCTTTGGCTACACATTCAGTACTCCTTTTGCCATGTTTTCCTATTTTATTTTTTTTACTTTTCTTGGATGTAGTTCACTGCAGTAAGCAGGTGCTCACCATGATTAGGCCACAAACTTTGGCTCCTTCTCTCACATCAGTGCTCCTGAGAACAGCTCTACCTTAGGAAATGATTCCATTATGCTTCTCAACTCCTCCACCACGTTCCTTCCTTCCTGTTTTCATGCCAGACCTTTTGGCCTCCAGTAGCTGGACCCTATTTCTGATGTGCCCTCCTGTCACTTCATGTGTTGCTGTGGAGCTGATGTGGAACATAAAAATCACACTAAAGGAGTTTTCTCCAATGCACTGCCACCTTTCAGCAATATATTACCATAATATTCTATTCCTTCAAAAATATATATATTTTTTGCCACATATCTACATTTCAAGGTTTCCTCTGAATTTCTCACTGTCTATCCACATTAAATCAATTAGAGACAAAGATGAAATCACTCCCGCTTCCAGATCATCTTCATTGACCCGCATTCATTGTTCAAAATGACAACGTTTACTTGTCATTTTTGGACTTTCTTATTCACAAATATACCACCTTTGCTCAGATCTTGCTGTTTCTCCCTCTGCACAACTACCTTTTTCTCCCAATCCATGGGCCCAATATGCCCCTCCTGACCCTCCTGTCATGCACTCTTTTTCTCTGCACTGCGCTGAAAGAACTGTTGTGAACACTTGATTTACTGGACATTCAGATCCACATTTAGATGCGGATGTAACCTCTTTCAACCCCGTCATTGGCTGTCCTTCCTCTTTAGCATCCCTTTGTTCTTTCTTTCATGGTTCTCTCGACTGCTTCTCCCATTTATCTTGTCTTGCCCTATATTGTTTTGACACAAGACACCGAACCCTCCAAGATTGTTGTCTTGTTTATATAACTGGCTTTCTTTCTTTCTTCTTCTTTTTTTTTTTTTTTTGGTAGAATGCTGTTCTTGGGTTAGTTTGCTCAGCAGCTTCACTTCCTCTGCTTCCTCCATGACTTTTACAATGAAGTAGATGGATGAAATGGTTAGACAGAAGGGTGCTCTCATCAGCCAAACAGGAAGTGTGATCAGGCACCACAGAAGGCACTGTGTGTTATATTAGCTGGTTAAAGTTGGTTAAAGCAGTAAAGACATGCAGAAACCAATACTTCGATATGGAAGTGACTAATTTTTACTGTTTTTACTTTTTCCTTACTGATTCAAGTAAACAAGACATGGATAGTAAGAGACATAGTATTGTTAGCTCTTAAAATAAGTCATTTCAAACCTCACCTCAGTGTTGCATTTACATTATAGCATGTTGCTGACACAGCAATGTAAAGATAAGCATGAAAAAGCACACTCTAGCTTAAACAACGTAATCAGCAAATCCTCCTAGCGCCTACAGAGCTAAGCTATCAGGAGAGTGCTCTTGTCACCTTAGATAATTTTCTTTACCATCAATCCACACTTTTCTGCGTGTCATGAGGAAAGCTGTACAGTATACATGCTGTACCTTCGCAGAAAAGCCTACCAGCGTAAGCACACCAGCACAGCTAGATTTCCTGAAGCTCTCCACAACAGAAGAGCTGGAAAACAAATTGGTGCAACTGAATGCCCTCTGAAACATCTGTTTGTATATCTCACCAGCTATCACAGCAAAGAATAAACATATCAGTCCACTCTTTTCTCTAAATATTGCTACTGCGAGCTGTAACTCTCGTAATTTTTGACCAGCCAAGAACACAGGTACATTTCTATATTTTAGAACATAAACTTCCTGAGCATCTTTATTTACCAACTGTATTTAGTGACTTAACTCTGAGAAATGGTCCCCAAAATTAAAGTAAATTATTTTGATAATTCAAGGCATTTCATTCCAGCTGAAAATAAATTACGTGTGGAATCATTAAGAGCTCAGTTTTGAGATGGCCCACAGGACTTTCAGAGGAAGCAGATCCTTGGAGAACCAGTATCCTGAATCAGTATTTTAAGGATAGATACTTCTAATACAATATTCCATAAAATAGTTCAGAATACATATATTTATACATAAATAGAACTTCTGTATTACAATATAAAGGTACAAGAAAGAAATCAAACTGAATACACTAATTTAAGCTTAACTTATGCTTAGCCTAAAGTACAGTCCTGCATTCTCATTCTGCTCTACCATTAATAACACTTTTGTCGATGTGGACTCCCTGTTCTCCACAATACAAATGTAGCACCATCTGCACATCAGAATTATCTGAAGTATTCAGTTGAATAAATCAATGCAAGAGTTATTTGTTTCTGGTACAGAACTTTTCACTGCATTGAAAACTTAAGAATAACTTAACATAGACATACAATTAAAATGAAATAATGCAGTGAACTCCATGCTGACTTGATTCAATAAAATCTCCACTTCTAAAATGAACCAGAAGTTCCACATGGTTGCACCCAACTGACATAAAAGTCAAATGGCTTTGCATCAGCATTCAGGCCACGTTTCACAAAGATTATAGATGGCCTAGGCTACCTATCCTTAAAATAATTAAGTTCCCTTTAGAGAAATATCAATAATGAGTAAACACAGTTTCAGTGAGAAACATAGTTTTAAAATCCATAAAATTTAAAATCCATTTAAAATCCATATTCCATACTGCTTATGATAGAATATATATTCTATGGATTTATCATGTTTTTGACTGCCACAAGCAAATGTATTGCCTTTTTATATTCTAACAGTAATGGATCTAACACAAACTTAATCTTAGACTAAGCAAAGTTCCACTCCTGACCTTATAGGTTTCATTTTCACAGTTAAAATGCATGGTTCATATTACACTATGCTTCTTGTGCACTGCATTAAAACTGCTGATACTCAAGGTCACAATGCATTACAAAATGCTTACAGATCCATAATCTCTAAGATGGATCTTATTTAAAGGACACTAGTAGAGAAGAGGATACAATCCATTGCAAACTCATCTATAAGTAGCACTGAAATTACTGCAACATGCAGCTTCCACTTATGACCAAGATCTTATGTGATTTCCTTAAGAAAAATTGTTGTTAGCTCTTAGGAGGTAGATCCCAAAGCAGGCAGAAAACTTCATTATTTTTTACTTTTAATAACTTGCATTTTCTTTAATAATTTGCATTTTACACACACGCTGAAGAACAAATGCTGGGTTACAAGTCACACATCACACTACCTGCCAACTTTGTTACGCCAGAACATCCCCTGCAGTCACTGACATATTACGTTAGTCTTGTGTAGAAAGCAGCAAAAAAACATCTGTAATCAGTTTTGTTTTCTCAGGAGTCATGGTCCAGAGTAACATGGAAATATGCCAATTTTATTTGCAGAGGTGAGGATTCTCTTAGGATCAAGAGAAAATCAAAAAGCAAGCGAACAAATGGTGTTACAGTATTAAATGTAAAAGCCATGACACATTAAAGCTTTCCCTCCAACCTCCCCCCACCCAGAAGATAAATGGGTAAATAATTGTATTTACCAACTATGCATCTGAAACCAAAGGAAATCATGATGTATTTTAGTATAAAATAACAGTAGTTCTAATTTGATTGAAATGCCCTCGCATCTTCACTTGATGTGGCCTTCTGTCATCAACTTTTGCAATTCTTCACCAAGAGAACCGTGAGTTACTCCTCATACACATCCCAACCCAAAGGACCTGAAGCCTGGAAGCATCGCACCCTAAGCACTCCGCAGCAAAAGCGGTCTTTTGCCAACACTTCAGTTCGCAGAGCCAGATACCGTTACGAGTCAGTGCCCCACACACTCAAACACGGTGCGAGGGGTTCACAGGAAAGGAACAAAAAGGCACCGTGACGCCGGCAGCCTCAGCCTAGGTTTCCTCAGCGGCCCCAGAACACACCTAAACTCCCACACCAGCCGTGGCGGCAGCCGCCATCGTGGGCAGGACGAAGGGCGCCGCCACCGGCCGGACGCTGCCCCGAAGGCCCTCCGCACCACCCGCCACTCCCTCGCTGCCATTGGCCCGGTCCGACCCACCCGGCAGTATTCTCACTTCTGGTTGGCTGGATTCTCCGGGTCTCCTCGGGGGGCGAATGAGGAGCGCCGTTGTTTCCCGGTCCCAAGATGGCAGCGCTCAGTCCAGTTTCTGGAGAAGGGAACTGGGGGGAGTGAACCCTGAGGGCGCGGGTCGGGGCTGCCAGCCGGGACGGGACGCGGGGCCGGGGATGAGGTGACAGCCGCCATGGCGAACGATGGGGGCAGGAAGCAGTTCTGGAAGCGGAGCGGCACGAAAGTGCCGGGCAGGTGAGAGGGACGGTGGGAAGGCCGGGGCTCTCTCGGGCCGGTCCCGCCGTCGCAGCTCCGGAGCGCAGGGCCCGTAGCGCGGCGGCAGTGCCCGGGCCCCTCGGCTGTTCGCAGCCGGGTGCCCTGAGCTCGTCCCGGGTCGTCGGCCCCACTACGCCGCCTTAGGGCGTTCCGCGCCGCACGTCCGTTTGGTGCAGGGAGGCGACCGTGCCGTCACTGCCCTGTCCTGTCCGGGAAGTTGTAAGGCGTTTCGGTCCCACGGTCGTTCTCCTGTTGTCAGCTCAGTGCCCGATGTGTGTCAGGGCGTGCGGTTTTGTTTTTGTGATCGGAGATCGCTAGTGGTCTCGTATGTTTTGGTTGCAGCTTGTGTTGGAAAAACAAGCTGTGAGTAAACGAGTGAGCTGTGTTAGCTGAATTTGCCTGTCTAAACACCCCGAAAAAGGTTCTATGTGAGAAACTAAGGAGCTGTAGCTAAAAAACAAACAAACAAAAAAACTCCAAAAAAATCTCCCCACAGCACAGCCTAAAAAAGTGCTGACTTGAAGAGTGTGGTTAAAAAGGAGAACTAAAAAGTCACTTTTGTTAATGGTGGGTCTGTAACAGCAGCTTTTCTGTAGTCCCGTCCCATATCTTCAGTATGCTCACATTTGTAAACACACTCTGTTTGAGTAGAGGATGAGAAACTTTTATTTCTTTGTTATTAGCCAAAGATTGAGATTCCAAAGTATCAGAATAGAAACCTTAATGTTTTCTTACATCTCTGAATACAACTTTTTATTGTTGCAAATTAACAAAAGAACATTAAAAAAATAGTCCTGAGCAAAACTCTTTTCTTTGTAGCAAAGAGTATGCAAAGTTGAAAAAGCATTATTGGTTAATGATGGTAAGAGGTTTTTTTTGCAAAAAGGAAGCTTGTTCTCTAATGCAGGCTCAGTTTGTAGTTCTTAGATCTTGTTAAAATTAGTAACTTCTGTACTTTGGTGATCGAAGCACAGGATGGTTAACAAGTTCCTGTTTTCTTTATGGATTTGAGTAGTTGTGCCTTGAAACTAAAATATGACAAAAAAGCTGTAAAGTGTGGTTTCCTGTGTAGTATTTCAAAATATTATGGGGCTCTTCTCTTTTCTCCTGAAGTGTGATGAGCAGAACCAGCTTTTCCTAGGTGAAAGCTACCAACACTTTCTTCCATTCAGCAATTTCTAGGGAATATATTTCCCAAACTCCATTAACTCCTTTAACCTTTGTAAGAGGCTGAGATTGCCCATTCAGATGTTTATTTAACAGTGGGGCTCCCATCCTGGAACTGTTTTAACAGTGGAGTAATTCATTTTTCTTTCATCCTTTCTAAAGGATGAGGTGTATTCTCATTCTCAGATAAAGATAATTTACTATTTATACTGTTTTTTGGATGGTATAGAGAAATAATCTTGCTCATCCTTTAACTTCTACTGTCCCTTATCCATAAGCACAAACTGGTAGTAGTTTTGTTTATCTAGTTATAAACTGCCTCTTCTGGTCTGACTGTTCTTCTCTCTCAGAACTTCTTTCTTTGTAAATTTATTAAGTCCCTGTAGGGATAAAACAGATTTGACTTTCTTTGATTACACAAGCTCTGTGAATAGTTGCAGTTAATTAATTAGCAGCCTACTGCAGATGTGGCAAAATGAGAATATGGAGAATGCGTTCCTGTTTTTTGTGGCAGAGAAAGGATTGTTGCTGTATACAGAGGTGAGTTCTCTTCATGTCCACTCATACAGCATCTGAAAGAAAGGACAGATTGTCTGTGCCATCAGGACGGTGGCTGGTGACACCTGGCCCTCAACTGGCCTAGAGTAGGGGAGAGGGTGCAGACAGTTGTCTGAGGGTGGATTTCATAAACTCCACAGCCATCTGTAGGATTAATTTCACAAATTAATGCTGCTCATTTGTTAAGACTGCAGTCTTTTTGGTTCTGAATAAGTTTACTAAGGTTGGACTTACATATGTGATCTTGAGATTAATTTTTGATTTGTCAGGAGGACATTCGCCACTTTTCATGTAGTTTTCAGTGCAGATTTAGGTAATGTCAGCATTGCATTGTAATTTGTTTTTCTTACAATCAGAATTGTGGAGTAATAGCTTTCAATGTGAAGCCACTTTTACTTGAAATAATATTGTGGCTGAAATCTGGAAGGAAATGGAGGTAAATGGAAGTTAATTAATGTTAAAGCATATATTTTTTGTACTCCCATGGCTTACGTTCTCTAACATGCCATCTTCTGTGTACTGTCTTTGTTTTTTTCTTTAAATTGGTTGGCTTTGTGTGTCAGTAGCTGTTAAGAATTGGCTGGTGAGATTTTGGGCCACAAGCATACAGAAAAATTTAAATCTTTGCAGATAACTCTGGGAGGTTTTGTTCTATTTTATTCAAAGAAATGATAAATCAGAAGCAAGAAAATCTACTTCTTTTGAACTTTCTTACTGTGGAGTTACCTCTTGTTCTAATTTCTATACAGAAAAAAAGAATCACCTTAAGTTGGCCTCAGGCTTTTTGTTGAGTTACTTTTGAGTGTACACTTTAATTTCAGATTCGTTGCTTTTAGTTCTGTAGGGGATTCTATGAAATGGAGGACGACTAGAACATCTCAGTTCTGTTTATTAGTGCCTAATTAACATACGCTCTCTCTTTTCCTATAGTATCCAACATGTGTATGGAGCTCAGCATCCGCCTTTTGATCCACTGCTGCATGGAACGTAAGTTAACCTAATATTCAGATAACCCAGATGGTTTGAATCTTATCTGTCTTCTTTCCTCCTTTTCTTCTTTGCTATTAGAATACTGTTAACTTTCTTTTCATAATTTTTGTCATAAACTTGACTTTTCTGAGCTCTTTTGTGACTTCCTGATGCTTACCATACTGTGAATTGCAAAAGAGCTTTTTAATGTCTTGTCTAACATAGACTGCAATCTTTCATCTCTGTAGTGCCTTAAAAACTTACGGTAAATACTTATCTTAATTTAGCAGATGAAGCTTATAGTTGAGATGTAACCAATCTGTATGCATCTTTCTGTTGATGATCTGCCTATTTTGTTCATCTGTGAAATAAAAGAATCAAATTATGGTGTGGATTGCTTTCAGATGAAAGTGGGAATTTTGCTTGTGGCAGTAGGTGGAAGAGATATGGCAGTAATTTAAAAATTGCCTTAGATCAAGATTATTGGATATCAGAACACAATGTGTATGAAAAGGGTAAAATTATCATCATTAGTAACCAAATACATTTCTTGCTAATAACCCATAACTAATGTAAGTGCATTATTCTTCATTTCCTTATGGCTGAGGTGTTTAGGAAAATGCGTTATTGGATTCTGACTGCTGCTGCTTTTTTAATTTTCAGAAGTTTTTAATTTTATTTTTTGAGAGTAGGGAAGTTGACTCAGTGTGTAATTTAGCTGAAATCTGAAAGCTGATGTGATTGCTCTGCATTACAGTAAATGAGAGCAAGGGCCAAAGTAGGGAGGAATGTCTGTATTCTCTCTCTTGTGCTGTATTTTGACAGAAGGATAGAGTTAGCAGATGATCAGGGCATGCTCAGAGTAGGAACTTGAGGAAATATCCTGGCTATCAGAAGAGCAAAGTTCTGAAGCAAATTTGTGCTAGAGTGCATGATTGGGGAGGAATGATAGATCTAATGAGTTTTAAGGTGAGATTTGATTTGTTTATGACAGTGATTGCATTGCTTGATTGCATATGGTGATTTAGGATTAGACCTGATGACTTGATTGCTGCTGCTGCTTGATTATACAGCAACTGCATGGAAGGGCCTGAAACCTCTATAAAAGCTCATAAAGCAAGTGAATTGTAACGTGTCCTCTCTGTTTTATAAAGTATTCCAGCAGTATTTATTTTATTTGACCTTGAGCTTTTATCTGTCTGTCTATTTTGGAGACAAGGAAAGGGAAGATTTGTTCAGGCTGCATTCAAAGCGAGGAAGCATGAGGTTACCTGCCTTTCTCCTCAGAAAAGTTCCACAGTGTTATATCATGGTTGGAAGCAGCAGTAACTTGAGTAGAGGGAGAGAAGTATCTGCTGCCTGTACAATGTCAAACACTGTTGTTTTTTTTTTTTTTTTGCTTCCCTACCAATAACATTGAGAATCATTACTGATTCTCTAAACATCATTGTTTACTTGTTATTTAACAGCTTGATAAAACCGGGTTCAAAGCCACCTACAACTCCGGTGAAACTAAAGAAAGTCAGCACCTTCCAAGAGTTTGAAAGTAATACAAGCGATGCTTGGGATCTTGGGGATGACGATGATGAGCTCTTAGCAATAGCTGCTGAAAACTTAAATACAGAAGTGGTCATGGAAACGGCTCACAAAGTAATTCAGAATCACAGCAAGTTACAAGAACAGCATAAATTTCTGGAAGAGCATCCACAGGAAGAAAAACAAGTGGAATCGGCAGAGCTGTCTGCAGTCACATGTGGTGATAATAGGCTCGTTAAGTCAGTCAGTGAAGGTCATACATCAAGTTCATCAGGTATGTTAAGAAATGGGAAAAGGTGTGGAAAATCAAGTGAGGAGACCTATCATATTTGCCTTTTAGGGCATTAACTCCTGCCCAACCTTTACCAGAGGTAACTATTATTAATCAGTATTAGATGATTTGAGGGAGGTACTGCACTCCATACTAAACTGTAAAGCTTGTCTATGAGAAATACGTAGGTCAGGAAAGAATAAACTTCTTTGTTTTCAGACTAGATATGTATTCAATTTTTGGAGGCAGTTGCACTATTTACTGTATTTTAATGCCTAACTGCATCAAGATGTGTGCAATTAATAATAATAATACTGCTGCTGCTGTAGGAAAAGTTTGTACTAAAATGCTACTGTATAAAATATTTAAAAATGGAGAAAAATGATTTGTATGGACTGGGAAGTTTGTCCTATTGAGTGATCTGGGCTGTATTCCTGTGTCAACTTTTAAAGTGACCAATTGCAATGATTTCACTATTTATTGTTTTAAGAACAGTGAGAGGGAGTAAAAACAACTTTCAGTTTCACAGTGATTATGGAAAAGAATTAACCTTGCTGTTAGTATCATATCTAATTGATGTGATTTAATTGTGGAATACTGCTAGGAAGAGGAATAGCTCTGCTATTAAATTCAAGTAGCTTGCAGTTCGAATTGGTGTTATGCCTTTAGGTTATATTTCTCTATTTCTCCAAAAGAGAATTGTGTTTTGAATTTAAAAGTTAAATTCAAATTACTAGTAGTCTTCTTACTAGCTGAGGCTGAGTATTATGCTTCTTTTTCCCTTCAGATAATGCTAGTGAAAATTCTTCCATGCAGAGATCACAGTCCCTTCCACAAACTTCCACACCTCCTTTGGTGAGTGGAATGGCAGACTTCAGTACCTCAGTTACTCCTGCATTAACTGAAAGAGAAGCATCCCGATTAGACAAATTTAAGCAGCTACTTGCTGGCCCCAACACAGATCTTGGTGAGTATATCTTGAAAAAGCTATGAATTCCATCTAAATAACATTTAAACTATAAAACTTTCCTGGTTGATGTATTTTTTTTCTGGATGGTTTGGTTTTGATCTAATTCTTTCAGCGTTTAGAATAGATCTTGTAAAAGAAGAATAGATATAGTTGAATGCCTGTTCTCTTATGTAATTTGAATGCATTATACTAATAAGTAGGATGTTAGATGCCTTCTTGTTCTATTGTTTTGCATCATTTTGTCTTAGTGGACAAATTTCTGGAAAAAAAAACACCACCACACAAAAATCACAAAGCTGTGTTAGCTGTGTTAGTGCTAAAGCTGCAAATGTAGCAACATGTGCTGTAAGAATGATTCTTCTGCTTAGAAATAGGAGAAAACTGTGAGGCGTGGAATTATTATTGCTTGTCTACTTAGCGAGTGTTCTTCATGTTCAGACAAATACAGTAGTTCTGTGTCTCATCTGTGAGTGCTGACAGTGTGTTCATGTGGAAACAAATGTATTGTCAGATAACTTGACTGTTGCCTTTGTCCACTAGATTTTAGCTGCTGATGAGTAAATGCTGAGAGGGTGTTGCAGAATCAAATGGCTCTGTATCCCACACGAAAATGTGGAGCAAGTAGGAAATTTGGAAGGCTTGGCTGGTCACTTTGTTGTAGGACTTTGTCAAAACAACACGTGAAATGATTTTGACTTAAGACAGTTCTGGAAAGTATGCTCAGGAAACTTATGGGAAGAGATAGAAGCTGCAATTAACACTTCCTTTTCCTACAAATATGAGACTACTTCAGTGTAACAATACAGTGTAGCACAAGTTGTGGCTTTTTTCTTTTTTTTTTATTCTGTGATGCATCCTATGGTGAGATTGATGCTGATGAAATAGAGCTATGGAAACAATACTAGACTAGACATAACACTTCAGTGAGTTATGACATTCTTATAAAATACAGCTGTGAATAAATTCTGAGGTGCTATGCAGAATATGGAGTGTTTAAGCTTGCAAAGGATCATCGAATAGTGCTTTTTCATCCTTTGATCCAGCATGTTATGTTTTTATGTGATTGTGACTGATGTGAAAGCTCAACTTTTTGAAACACAGTATAATAGTAGAAACCTTCTTTACAAAAAATTATTTAGTTGCTTGTGGTAGCAATGGTGATGGGATGGTTAGACTAGATGATCTTGGTCCTTTCCAACCTTGCGATTCTGTGACTCTATGAAATCAGAATGAAGACAAGATTTAACTTAAACCTGCTCAAGGGAAAATGGCCATAAACTGGAGCACAGGAAGTTCTTCCACACCAATATGTGGAAGAACTTCTTCACAGTGAGACTGACGGAGCACTGGAACAGGCTGCCCAGGAGGTTGTGGATTCTCCATCTCTGGAGGATCCAGCCTGCCTGGATGCCTACCTGTGCAACCTGCTGTTGGGAGCCTGCTTTGCAGGGGGGGTTGGACTTGGTGATCTCTGGAGGTCCCTTCCAACTACTAAAATTCTGTGATTTCACTTCTGCTTCTTAATTATACGTAAATACTTCCTCAGAAACTGAAATTTATGGATTGAAGTAAAAACAGATTTGTTGCCTCCCCACTCTCCTCACCCACACTTCCTAAATTTCACGCAAATACATACAGGAATAGAAAATTTAAGTACATTGCTCTGCATGTCATTGTTATAATGTCACACACACTGCATAAGGTGTCAGTATTCTTTTTTGTAGATTTCAGTAAATTATGCCTGTTCTAAGTGTACGTGGAGCCCCTTGTTTCTCTTGCTGCATAAGCATAAATTCGTATTTTTTTTTAGTATGTTCTTCATGAAAGGAACGTAAAGAAAATTCTTAATGTTGTGAAAGTGTAAGTAGTAAATCATATGTAGTGCTGGGACTACATTACATATATTTGTTAGGGAAAATGTGGGTACACATACATATACACATATACATACAAACAAGTATATGCATGTGAACATATACACAGTTCACTGGTGTGTGTGCGTTATTGGAAAATGCTTGTTTTAGCTCCGTTTCCAACAGAGACTGTATTTAAGAAGGGTCTTTAGTGATGGTATTAGTCTAGAAAACCAGATTGTTATTATTTACTATAACAGTGAGAAGGAACTAGGGTAGAACTATGTAACAGGCTCCAGTCTGAAATTTGAAGCAAGTAATGTAGGGATAGGTTGCTGTTCTATTGCACATAGCTAGTTTTCATTTGTGTGTGTGTGTGTGTTGGAGGGGGAATGAGGCTGCTGTTGATCGTGATGAACTGAATTAGTGGGCTGTCATGATGGAGATATTCCAGAAAAATTTCTGCTTGTTTCTGCACCTTACGTAGTAGTGTTGCCTTTACTTGGAAGCAGTAGCTGTATTAGCAGAACATCTCTGACTTTGTTTGCTTGATACAGGTTTTCACATTGTTGAGAGAGATTGTGACAGGTCTTTTCAGAGTATCTAAAAAATAGGGTAATCTGTGGACTGAAACACTGTTGTGCATTTTCAACTCGAGCCTTTTCTCCAATCGAAATGTGAGAAATCAACACAGACAAAGAACGTGAAGTAACACAAATGATGCTGAAAGCCTTTCATTCATACTTGAATAATAATTATCCTATAGAGATACAGTAAAAAGCAGTGTTGGTCACATATGTTAGCTTGTGGCTGTGATGTGCTCTTTTTCACCATAAAAACTCAGGAGTTTTTAAAAAGATATGTTATATGTATACATTTGGAAGTGAAGATTATTTTAGCCATTGAAATGTGCTAATAGATTTTGGAGTCAGGATTTGGTCTGTAGGTTGGATGTTGTGAAGTTGTAGAAATAGGTATGTTCCACCTGCTCTATCAAATTACACACAGAGAAAAATAGTGTGCTGGGAATGTACAGTTGTCAGAGATGGAATCCTCTGGTAGTTACTACACAAATATGTGATGACAGAGCCATTCTCGAAGTTTCTGTGTACAGTTTTGTCTTTGGGTCCCTGTGCATGGCGTCCTTCTCTTCTACTGTGTCAGCTGCACCGTTCAGCTTGGTGTCATCAGCAAACACACTGAAGGTACACTCAATTCCACCATCTGTGTCACTAATAAAGGTGTTGAAGAGTGCTGCTCCAGGTAGATGACATCAGTTATCATTCCTTTGATCCTCTGATGCTGTCACATGCTTCTAGGTAAATCGTTTGTGCTAAAGGAGAGAAACATTCAAGAGCCTTTGCACCTCTTAAGTATTAATGTAATGCAAAGAATAGGGACCTAATGGCAAAGTTATGAAGTGAAAGCTGCCTAACAAGCTGAGTCACATCACTGCAAGAAGTGTGGGCTGGTAGAAGGAACCTGCTGTGAGAAGCAATTTGGAGAATGACTTGAGGACTGATTGCTATCTATTAGAATCATGTTGATGTATACTGAGTGCAAATTCAGGAAGCAGGATAAGCCTGGAGATAGCAATACAACTGTGCTCAGTGCACAACTGCAAAATAGATTGTAGGGCTAATGCTTCTGTGTAGTCTTCCACTCATAGTACTGGAGGGCAGGTTGCAGAGAGACAGCAATTTACCCTAGTTGTTCTGTACCATCTATCTGTGCTCGTTCTCGTTTCGCAGTCAACCTGATTTAGATTTACTTCATGTAAAGCCCTGCCTTTCCTTGCACAGGATTTTGCCTTACTGAATTAAGGTGGCCTTCTTGTTTTCAGAATCTCTTGTAAATGACTGGGAGTGGAGGGGACTCCAAAGCAGCTTAGAGAGGTTGAGAAGGAACTTGAAAAGTAGAGTGTATTTTTTTTGTGCTTAGAATTGTTCATACAATCTAGAATGTGTATAGAATGTATATAGAACACATCGATTGTAATTTTTATTTGTTTATGGTTGATAAAGGTAGTCTGCAACAGCATTCTGATGTCCTTTAAAACTGTTTGTCAAACTGATGTTATTGAAAAAAATAACTGTGCAAAATATTCATTGAAGTGAACCTGATTAATTTTTTTCCTAGCCTCGTTAATTTTTCTGCATTGAACTGCTTAGCCATTTGTCTTTATATTCTTGGCCCATCTATGTCACTTAGAGTTTTATTGCCTCCTGTAGTTTTCAGTCACGTACAGTTGATCATTTTGGTGTATATTCTTCTTCCAGTTTGTTGCTGTGTTGGACAAAACTAACAAATTATGTCCTGCCCCTTCTTGTTGTGATGTGCTGTTAGTCTTATCTATTTTTCAAACTGCTATCATGAAAAGTATTCTCTCTGTGCCAGTCAGCTTTTCTGCAGAACATGCAGAGCGTGCGTTTCAGCTAAGAAATAATAATAAAAAAAACCCCACCAAACCCAAAGAAACAACAAACCAACCCCTACCCCCCCAAAAAAAAACAAAACAAAACCAAATCCACACAAAACAAACTCAGGTCAGAATTCTTTCAGTAGCTCTTAGAAGGATTTATTTTTTTTTTTTAATTAAACAAATTGGTGCTAAATATCCTTACGTATTTTTTGTATTGTTTTCTGTATTTAATTTGTTTCTATTTTCCATGCTTTATGTAATAGCATGTAGTTTCATGACAATGTAAAGTTTAACTTCCCCACTTTGGTAGGATATTTCAATTTCAACGTAATAATTAATCATTTTGTTTGTAATTAGGTGACAAGTTTTTAAAAAAGTTTCTAAAAGAATTTTGCATAGTTTCTCTGGAAAAGTTGTTTCTCCTTTTTTCAGGCTGTATGATTGATGTTTCATTACATCATAGCTATTGACATACAAAACATCATATTCCTAAACTGGAAGGTTATCAGTAACAAAAAAACGTGAACTTAATTTTTTTTGCTATTAATGATCCCTCGTATGGCATTATTAATACTACCCTTCACTTCTATCTCTCCTATTGAGCTCTGCTGTTGCAGTTACACTGGAAAACTTCCTGCAGTTTTCTCTTTTCTTCCCTTCACTCTTTTTGCTACTTTACACCTAAAAAATAAGTTGGCATCTTTTTCTTTTGCTATCTCCTT